AACAGGTGTGGTGTAACCATTTCAAAACAAAGAAATAGTTTAGGATGCCTTCTGATTTACTGCCTAAGTCCTATTCGTGGGGTAATTAGTTGTATTCAGAGAAAGAGGAAATGGTCTAATTATATTTGAGATTCTTTTTGTTATTGTTAACGAATTTTTACCCATAAATTCAAGAATGAATAGCTTCAGCCTTCAGCTCTTATTGGGATTTAATGTCAAGGTGACTTTATAGTGATCTGGGAATTTCCACTTCTTCAAGAAAGCATTCCTGCGGCCTAAGATCATTTTTCATCTAGACCGATTTTGTCTATTTATCCGATTTTGGTGACAATGTTTTAACAATACGTAGCTGAGAGGTGAAGATTAAGGATGTTTTCTTTTGGACGGTTTTCAGTTCTAGACCAAATCAGACCAGACTTGACTTTCGTAGTTATAAAATACACAGAGACCAGATGTTTACCAGACTAGTTCAGACCAGATTGGATCAAACTAGACCAGCAAATTTCAGTCCAAAAGAAAACATCCTAAATGACTATAATGACATTAGGTCTAGATTAAAATATGTTGTCGTTGTGTGGTCCCTAGGGACCGGGTCGGGCCGGGCTCCGGGTTGGGGTTGGGCAGGACCGAGACTAAAAATTTCAGGCCTGGTACTGGTCCGGGTTTGTACCAGAACTGGGCCGGGCCTAAACAGTATCGGGTCGGGACAGGATGGGCCTGGGTAATAAATTAAAAAAAATAGTGCAATCGGGCTTGAGACCGGCTCCGAAAATGAGCTTGAAGCCTGCCCTTATAGCCACCAGGCCGGGCCTAAACAGTGTCGGGACCAGGTCGGGTCAACCTATCGCAGTCCATGTCCATCCCTAGTACTGCTGTACTGGTCCCTCCGTCCTTTCGAGTATTTTATGTGTCCTGCTTGAGCAACGGAAAAAGTGAAAAAAGTTTTTTAAAAAATGCAACATTTTGTTCAATATAAGAAAAAACTTATTTGTTCAAAAACATCATTTTTTTTAAAACAATTACTCCATCCCATAAAACTTTGTTAAATTATTTTCTAGATCAATGATAATGAACTTTGAATAATGATTCTAATTATTATATTTGTGTGAAAGTATTTTAGTAATGAATATTTTCAAATGATTTTCATATGTTCAATATTCTGATATTACAAAGTATCATTGACCAAATAATTATCATTCATTAAAATAATATTATCAAGTTTTATGGGACGGATGAAGTATTTTACTATTTTTATATGAAAGTTTAATTAGAAAAAGATTATAAGAAATGGAAAACTATCAAATATGTCATCATACTATTACTCATCGATATTAAAATGATTATACAATTCGGAAAGACACTATTAAGGATTTAAAATGATTAAGAGTCGTTGATTGTAATCTTATATAGCATTTTAACTCGATGTTTTTGTTTCATGGTTTGTAAATGTTTTTTAGGGAAAAGGAGTATTCTATTTTGAGTTACTGTAGTTCATTACTTATTCAGCTACTATTGCGTTAAAAAAACATTAAGGGCCAGTTTGGTTGAGAGATTTCAGAGAGGGAAGATAGTTGATTTTTTTCTTTATTAATTCATCTGAATTTGTTAGTTTTGAACTATAAATAACTATATAATTAGTTAAACCATATTTTAATATACTATTTTGTCTTCACTTTATTTCAAATTTTTTAAATATAAAAAATATTTGAAATTTAAATATGACCCGACCCAGTACTGTGCCGGCCTGACCCGGCCCGATTTCCATGTTTCTGTTAGGGCTGGGACCGATTCGGTTCTTACTCAAAATGAGTGGAACCGTTTAAAAATTTTAACTAATGAAATCGGTTCGGTTCCTATTTAAAAAATAAAGAACCGTTATGGAACTGAACCATTACTAATTAAACGGTTCAGTTCCTTCTTTTTACCGGTTCCTAGAATAATTTTTTCTAATCCAAGAATTAATTAGTCAATTAACACATAATTTACTTTGTACAACATAAACACGTCGAAAATTAAAAACACGGATATTAAAATTTTATTTGAACTCAAACATCAAAACTCAAACTTAACTAGTGAATTGTGAACAATTAATAGAACAACGATGATTTAATTTTTCATGTAATAAATAAAACATAAAAGTCATCATCATAGTAGCAAGTAAAGGACGCCTACTTTTAGTTCACATGTATAGACATCAAAACACTATTACATTCTACTTGCTTGTACCATGATTTATAATAAATCTAATAATTAGAAATACTATGAAAATAGTAAAGTAAAATATGTGCAATCAACTACAACTTATTAGGGGTATTTTATATTTATAAAATTTATGTGATGCAACAAAACTTGATTTGTACAAAATGAGCATAATGTATTATATGAACTCATGTGCAATATTATTACGTCTGTTTCCGTTGATTAAATTAGAATTGTTAGTTAAATATGTATTGTATATTTGTATTATTAATCATTCATTATTGTTGTGGTGGTTATGATTGTTATTATATTATTGTTACTACTACTAATACTATTTTATTTTAAATTTTTTAATAACTGTTCCTTAACGGTTCCATGCATATATTTATATAGGAACCAGGAACCGAATCGTTAACAACATCTAGAAACCAAACCGTTAACAACTAATACCTCATTTGTAGGAACCGAACCGGGTTATAACGGTTTGGTTCCAATCGGTTCTACAGTTCCTGGTTCCAAAATCTCACCCCTAGGAACGAGCCTGGGTAGCAGAAGAAAATTCATCAGTATACACTATACATACACTATACAACCATGGGTAGGAGCTTGGATTCGATTTTCTGTTGCTGTGTTTTCAAATGATTGAGTTAGTGTTGGACCCAGTTCGGGTTACCCGGCCCGGTACTGTGCGGGCCCGATGTACCGGTTTTGAATCCGGGCCTAGACCCGGTCCCGGGGGTTAGGGCGGGGCGGTCCCGGTTCAGCCCCTTCTTTGGAACCGGCCCGACCCGGACCCGATGGTAACCCGGGCTGGTCCCGGGCCTTCTACCGAAAATTAAAAGCCCAGCCGGGCCTACATTGAGTAGAGGAGTTGTGTAACTTGTGTAATTGTGTTGTCCAAGTTCATTTCAATTTCCACGTTCCAGTTTTTTATAATCATCATGATTCCTACAACTCTACAAGTATGATTGTTTTTAGTTCCATATACAACATATATCATATTCCTTTTGAAATCACAAAACACAACATTGAAAACAATTCCGTCTGTAAATGTGCCTAGGGATGGACCCGGGCCGGGCCGGTTCCGGTTCCGGGCCGGGCCCGGGCGGGCTTTTTTTCGGGTTACATGGGCCCGGAACCGGCCCGGGTTGATACCGGGTCCGGGCCTAACCGGGCCGGGCCCGGTTCAATGTTTTTTTTTTTTTTTTTACTTTCTTGTTATCTCCCTACCCCCCCCCCCCCCCACCCCCACGCCCCAAACCTCCCTAAAACACCCAGCCCTACCCTAGGAAAAGAAAAAAAAATTGAAAAAACCAAAAAAAAAAAAAAATGAACCGGGCCCGGCCCGAACCGCCCAGGCCGGTTCAACAAAAATAGGGCCCGGAACCGGCCCGCCCGACCCGCCAACACGGGCTAAAAGCCCGGAACCGGCCAACCGGGCCCGGTCCGGTCCGGGCCCGCACAGTAGCGGGCCGGTCCGGTTCCGGGCCGGTTCGGCCCGGCCCAGTCCATCCCTTTATGTGCCGCTTAGATACATTGAAGAATTTAATACTACTACGTACTAAATTAAAAAATGAAGGGGGAAATTTCATTTCCTTTTATTTCAATGTTTCACAGTCAAAACCCAGCAAAAAATAATCTTTTTCAAATTTAACCAGTTAAGCAAAAAATAACTCCATGTTTAAAGATAAAAGGAATTTGTAAGGGGAATTTTGAGTTTGCACCCCACTTTTTGAATGATATTGGACTATAAACCTCATTTTCAATTTTTTAGACTTTTCACCCTATCTACAACATTTTGTTTAGAAAAAATCTAGAATGGGGTGTAGGCATGGACCCGGTTCGGGCCGCCTGGCCCGGGACCGGCCCGGTTCTCGGGTCCGGGTCGGGCCTAGCCCGGTGGGGGGGGGTCCGGGCTCGGGCCTTGTATTTGGCGAACCGGCCCGGCCGGGTCAGGCCCAGGCCCGGGCCGAATTGATTATTTTTTATTTTTTTTTTCACTTTTTGGGGTTAGCCGGGTTGGGCTTGATGGTTAGGAGGGATTTGGGGGTTTGGGGGGGTGGGGGGGGTGAGTGGGGGGGTTAGGAAAGCAAAAAAAAAAATTATGACCAAACCGGAGGCCCGGCCCGGCCCCGGTGGCTACCCGGGCCGGTCCCGGGCCTTCCTTCCCAAAAAAAAAGCCCGGCCGGGCCCGGTCCGGAACCGGAACCGGCCCGGGTCCATGACTAATGGGGTGCAAAGGCAAAGACATTTTAGGGGAAATAGGGTGAAAAGCCTAAGAGTTTTGAAATTGGGGTGCAAAGTCCAATATCACCCAAAAAACAGGATGCAAAGTCAATATATCCCAATTTGTAATGCCCACGAGCCGGGAAAAAACAAATTTGGCTGTTGAAGTAGGATATACGCGTGCTTATGTGTATGGGGCAATGAGAACAACTCCCGCTTTCCTTTATGATAAAAAAAAAACTCCCGCTTTCCTTTATGATAAAAAAAAACTCCCGCTTTCCTTTCCTTGCTTGGAAGACCTTCAATAACTGCTTCCTACTTACTATAATTCTATATAAACATTTCGAACTTGTGCTAGCCTTTCCCTTGACAGCTATCACTTTTCTTTCTGAATTGATCCAACATGCAGCATTGAACCCCACCAAAGCGCTAGGCCATGTTTATTCATTGCTCGTCTAGCACCGCACCTCAGGCTTTCAATATGCTGCTTCTTAGATATCCCATTCAATATTTTTAGCCCATGCCATCCCAATGCAAAATAAAATAAAATGCTAGTATGGTTTATGGCAAATAGGTGAAGTTACAAGTACACAATTCATTAATCTGACTATTTTAGCTAGCAAATAACCTCAACTTTAGATCCATTAGTACATCCGCATAATAAATCTATGGAAAAACTGATATAAGGTCAAAAAACAGTATGCTAGACTATAAATCACGGTATAATACACAGAACTACTTCTCACTCTGCCGTCCACCACCCTAATGCTTCCTCATACAGTACGAACCAATTTTTAGCATTACAAACTTTCGCCATTTGTTGTCTGCTATGACTCATTCAGTAGCAAAGTAATTAAAAGAAAAGAGCTAACCAAATTAAAATTCACCTTTCACTGCCATCTCCTTCGCTATCCCTAGCTATTTCCCAGCCATGCGTACTGCCAATGATGAGACTATTATGCTCTACATGTAAAATGGAAGTGCAATCTCGTCATTCCATTCTGCAAAATACAAATTTGTCAGATTAGGGTTACCCGGTTACCATAATGGGAATATTGAACTTGGAAGGACAGGATAGCTATATATTGGCCATCCACCATCACTTGCACTTTTACATACCAAGTGCTCATGTAGTGGTTGTGTATTGTTTGTCTTGGTAAAAAGATCTCAGGCGTTCAATAATACTCTTAATCAATGATGCAGGAGCTTTTGAACTAAAAGTTGATTTTGCATCTTCGATCAACAACTTCCTGCCCGACAAAAAGACAAGATTAATTCTCCAAAATAAGTACACTGAAAGTAACATAATCATCTTAATAACAATCACTTCAGTAAAAGTAATAGCTGCATTTATGAAAATAATCAAGTGGGGAAAAAATCAAATTGAAAAAAGAGAGGATAGGTGCATTAACCCCAAAGTGCACAGTTATGTATGAACGTAACAACATCTTAATAGTAACAATCACTTCAGTAAAAGTCATAGCTACATTTAAAAAAAGAATCAAGTGGGGAAAAATCAATTTGAAAAAAGAGAGGATAAGTGCCTTAACCCCAAAGTGCACAGTTATGTATGAAACAAGCAAGTCACTTAATGCTAAAAAGGAAACTACAACATACTTCTCCTCATCATAATCTGATGTCTGATTGCTGCCTCCTATGCGCATCTTTTTCTTGGTGTGCATGAAAGCATAGACATCTTCAGTCCAACCACATGATCGCAGCATAGATGAAGCTTCTTTCATCAGTCTGAAATATGTTTAAAAATAAATTGAACTATCAAACCAAAGAACAAGTGAGACATGATTCTGGCAAAACACTCTGCATAGCAAAACAAAAATTCAGGGGAATATATATAAAAAAACTTAATAAATTCTCAACATATTAGAAATCCAAGCAGATATACAGAATTTATAGCCACAAGAACAGGTTAATCTAAGTAGTTCAGTTTCCTAGGCTTTCCCAACAAATGAATACAGAAAGACGTCCTGGGGCACAAGCATGGTCTGCAGCAGAAAAGTTGGAAAGCAAAGTGATACAAACAACAACCTCTTAACTCTCTCTAAACATAAGAAACATTTAGAAGCAGCACACTAACGGAGATAGGAACATACTCTTTTTTCAATGCTTCCAGTTTAAATGAAAGGTGAGACTCTCCTGATGGCAGGATACTTGGTTCTGGTGATTTTCTCTTCTGACTTGGGTCAGTACACAAGATTTTCACATTACCATGGACCAACTCCTTTTTGTCACAAGTCTCTTTACATGGTTCTGGTGGTTTTCTCTTCTGACTTGGGTCAGTACACAAGATTTTCACATTACCATGGACCAACTCCTTTTTGTCAGAAGTCTCTTTACCATTACCATTACCATGACCATTGTCTTTGCAGGGACCACCCTCTAAGATATCGGGTGTAACAGTCTGGACATAACCATTACCATTGGCTAAGGAAGGTGATCCTGTTGTCTTTCCATTGGCAATCTTTCTACTAAAACCATTTCTAACTGCTGATGACATTGCCTCTTTAGGTATATAAGTCGAGCCCCTTTGAGCACCATTTATATTTCCAGATTCTCGTGGATGGACAACAATTTTAATATTTCCTGGAGTGAGTGACTTTTTAATGCTTACTTTTTCAAAGACGCTTGGACCTTTATGAACTTCATGAGAAGCTAAGTTATTCATCTCTGGCTGGTGAGCAGAAAACTCCTTATTATTTCCAGCTTTTGCTAAATGGACGTCAGAAATTTCAGATTTCCAGATGCCATTGGATTCATTATTTTTGGATCCATTCGTTCCATTGTATGGCAAACATTTCTTGGCAGGTGGGGGCCTATGTTTAGCTCGAGAGAAAAACAAAATATAAACCTTCTCAGAGAGAACTTCTTGCAGGCTTGAATGTGACACATAAGAATCATTACAGCAGTACCAACAGCCCATTGCATCCTATAACAGATTCCAGCACCAAAATTTGAAAAAAAAAACCACATTTAGGTTGCAGGCTCACTGATAATTTGACACAATCCAGGTCCAACTAAATAAATAGTGGGGCCACCTTAATGTATGCATAATAATGTCCTGAATCTGGTGAGAATCCTGAATGCACAATGGTACCGAAGAGCTTGTACTCAGGATGTGGATCCTACAGAATCAGTCCCACAACTCATAATTTTAAACAAAACAATAAACATGTGGCATGTAATGTATGATCTGCGATCAACCAAGCAGAAGAAAATGCTGAAAATGTTTCAGCTCACACAAAGTACAAGATACATGATGTAGAAAGAGAAAGTGAATACAAATGCCATAATGCAACTGCAAGTTAGGAGGCTTACATTTCAAACAGTTGAGGGATATGCGACGCCTGAAGGCATTTTTAGACGGGATTTTTTAAACATTTTTGTTGTAATTTAATAAGCCCGAGAGAGTAAATTTCATCCAGAAGGCCTAAAATCTATCAGATTATAACTTCATAGGGCCAAGAGGGTAAATTTTGTCAAAGACCTAAAATATATTTTCCAAATACTATTATACTCTCTTCTTTCCAGCAATAACTCGAGCAACTCCATCTTCTTCTTTTTTCATTTTATTTGAATAATCATAGCTTCTTTAGTTTTTTTCTTTTATTCAAATTACTCCAAATTTCAAAATATCAAAATGTCCAGGATCTAGTCATTTCTTCTCCATATTTCTCATTCAAACAACTTCTTCAATTTTCATTAAATACGATGAATCTTAAAACCTTTCCTCTAAAAGTTAAACATATATTTAGGACTCATTTTATGCATGATTGTTAATATATTTTGGATTTTTAGTAATTTTACTTCTAAAGGAAACTTGGTATAAGATCTAAAGCTTGCACCTCAAACCGCCTGGAGGTTTACACCTTGCCTTGCAAATGCAAAACAGATCAAGACTTTAAAACGTTTTTTTTAATCAATAAACATCAGCGGGACATTAATGTTTCAGATAAATAAATCCTTGAAAGAGCTAAAACCTCCTCGAAATTAAGCTGTAGGATTGTAGACAGAATTTTCTGCCTTAATTCAAGAGCACACCTGGTTTGCTTTAGTTAAGTAGCTTGAGAGCACTAAAACCTCCTCAAAATTAATAAGCTTGTCAACCTTACCACCAAATATACCTTCAAACCTCTGTCAATTGAAAACAATTCAGTAAACAGGGGAACTATATTTGAAAGAATATAAGAATACATAAGGGTTCCAGCTCTATGCTACCTTGAGTTGAATCACAAGAACGTTTGGCGCTTGAAGTAATGACATCTGTTTCCGTGCTGCCACCAATTTATTACACCTAACACAGTAGCATAATCCAGATATATAAATGTATAGATAATATGGTAACAAGTGAACAGATTACAGATATATCAATAAATGATAAAATGAAGAATACTTACTTATCACACTTGTACTTATTATTACCATCCAAAATTTCTGGTTCAAAGAACTTCTGTAGAGAATCTTTCAGAGAACTACTGTGCAAAACATCAAGACTAATATCCATGATCTCATCAACCTTATTTGACTCAGCTCCGCATGACAGGCATTTGACCTGGTTCTGCAAAGCACCTCCAAAAATTTGCTGAACTATAGTACTCTCATTCTCATCCCCACCTACAGCACTCCTAATCCCAGCCTTCTTTCTCTGCCGTTGCAACTTCTTCAAACGCAAACATGTGTTATGACAGGCGTCTATCACATACCGCAAAAACTCATGGGCATCCTCCTGCATCCCAATTCTAAAATGCTGTGCGAAAATTCTCAAACAGCTACTAATCTTTAAGGGACTGTCCAATGTCAAATCTGAACTCAAAGACCGTACAATTCGCTTTTCTAAAATACAAAATGGACAGTCGCTCTTCTTCTCACGCGCCGCATCACCTAAGGAAGACAGAAATCTATTGAAAACCAAAACGCCACACTCAAATTAGGGCAAAATTAAACACCAAACAAATCAAAAGTAGAACTTACACGAGGTGGAATGAAAGGATTGGAGACAGAAATTAGCGAGTGGAGGGGTGTAGGTGAGGCACTGGAGGACGGAATTGAGATAACAGGTATTGCCAAGGTTTCTGAGTCCTACGGGAGGACATGATTTTCGCTTGTGTTTGAGAAGGCTTGGCTGCCAAGTCATTTGCAGAACGGCCATCAAAGACCTGATTGCCCCGCCACATTGGATGGACCGCCCCGCCGTAACCGCTGCAGCTCCCACCAGCAAAGTCGCATAGCCTCCGGGCTCCTCCTCCTCCTCCTCCTAGCCCGCCCAAGAAAACTGATTGCCAAAGCTCCTCTTTCTGTTCCTCACACTGAAAAATCTGCAGATTCGGGGGTTTAATTGTGGTTTATAGACACTGTTGATCTGTGAGAGGTTTCTGTTTGTGTGGGCGAGAAGAATTTGTGAACGGGGGATAAGAAGAGGGAAAACGGGGAACGAAGAACAACAGAGTAGAGAGGTAAAAGCCCCCACCCAACGCCCAAGCAAGAGCGTTGTGAACTCTTTAATTTATGTTACGTTTGACCACATGACTTTTCTCTTTTTTCGCCCATGATTGGGGTAGTCAATGGCTCGACAAGCCCAACTACCACATTCCCTTTATGGGCTTCCGAAATATTGGGTTTGTGGGCTAGCCACGTTTGATATCCAATCCACATTTCAAAGATGAACAAAATTCTATGGATAATTCTATTCGGGTAGTCAATGGCTCGTGTTCCTAAGTACAATCTCCGAATTAAATATTACCGAGTTGTAAATAAAAGAACTTAAAATATCCAAATTTCCCTTAAAATAACTCATGCGCTAATTAAGGCTGAGCATAATTCGTTCAGAATCGGAAAACCGGACCGAACCGGACCAGTCAGTCCAGACCGAACCCAGACCGGATAGATAACAGTCCGGTCTTCAGTCCAAGGTTTTAGATAATAGTCCGGATAAAGCAAATTTTTTTAGCATTCATGTTCTACAAAAAAATAGTATTTTTCTTTGAAAATGCCATTTAAATGGCATTTTCGACTCATTTTGACATTTTGATAAAAATGTTGGCATTCTGGCTGGCAACAACCAGATCTACAATGATAACCCTTGGCACGTCGGCAACAACCAGATCTGCAACTGAGGAGGTCGAAGTTGCAGCAGCAGGTCTCGGCGGTGGCTCGATCTGCAGGGGCAGCGGCCGACGGAGGATAGATTTGGCCAGATCTCTGCCGAAACCCACCAGATCTGCATCAGCGATGGCCTTATCTGCATCGGCGATGGCCTTATCTGCATCGGCGACGCCTGATCTGCAACAACGGCCAGTTTTTTAGGCGACGACTATGTCCGCCTTTTTTTAGAAAAGCCGGACATAGTTTTTGTTTCCGTAAAAAAAGTAAAAATATTGTATCTACATCTTTAAAAGACAAAAATATGACTAGTTTTTATTTTTTCCAAAATGTGATTAACTTTTTTAATTAATATAATTTTTAATTATAATTCCTATCCAACTATGCACCCATGCCCCATGTCCTACTACTCGCTCCGGCCGCATTGGTCGGCGGTTGTTTGGAAACCACATCTCTTAGAAAATTTCAGTGGATTTTTTTTATTTTAAATTTTAGCCGAAATAATTTCTGTCAGTCACCATGAGTCCTATATAAAATAAGGTGCGAATCTATACTTGGGTAATTATTTGAATTTAGTGATATTTTATATGAGACTTGTGAATCGTTGCGCTTAGCGCTACACTAAAAACAATTGCCGGTGGTGTAGCGCGCCTCTCCCCTTATAGCACAGATAAAGCGTCGCGTTTCGATTCCACTGTCACGCTGGCAGAAATGCTTGCACCGCATAGTCACAGTCCAACAATTCCCTAAGTACCAACCAGAAAGTATACTCTTCAATTGCCACTTACTATTCCAATATATTTTCGTCGAAAATATACTTTCATGTGGTAAAGTTCTTAAGTTACTGAGATTCATTGGTTACGGGATCATCTACATGTTACGAGATTAAAAACTGACACAGATGAGGTTTCCACCACGCTCAAACTTGGAGGATCGGTCTCCGGAATTGAAAATTCGGTGGTGCCGATAGGCATGGTGACGGCAGCAGAAGTCGTAGGGGAGGCCATCGAACCGGGGGGGAAATTTAGTAATTGGCTAAAAACCTAGAGCTCTCGATCTCATACTTCTTCGACATTACCCACATCGTTTGCTACTCTTGCTCAAGGTATGGGTTTTAGTGCTTCTTCTATTACTACTATCGTCACCATCAAATTGTCTAAAGTTGAAGATTATTTACCCTGGCGTACTCAGTTTGAGTCCTTTTTTGTCTCAAACGGGCTATTGGGTATTCTTGATGGCTCCCTTCCGGCACCACCTCTATATTCCTATGATTTGTATCAAACCCAGGTTGTTAATCCTGAATACTATCACTGGCTGAAACTGGACCAGACGGTACGTTCATGGTTGTTTGCTACCTTATCTAGGGATATTCTGATGGAAGTTCATTCTCAGAAAAATTCCAATGATATATGGCAACAATTGGAGATTTGGAGTCCCGATTTATGACAGCCAGTTTGGCCAGGTCAATGGAAATGAAACAAATGTTAACCCATACCAAGAAGAAGCCTAATCAAACCATGGAACAATATTTGGGAGAAATCCAAACCATTGTTCAAAATTTAGCATCCATCAATTCCCCGGTTGCTAATCATGATCTCTTGCACTATGCTCTTATGGGATTGGGTTCGGGTTATGAGTCGCTTGTTAGACCTCTTACTCTATTTCCTGAAGGTCTTACGTTTGACAAGCTTTGCACCAAACTAGTTCATCAAGAGGCTCGTCTCCAATATCAACAAAAGCTGGAATCCAGTATAGGTGCACCCGCCTTCGCGGCAGCATCCTCACAAGGAGCTAACCAGGCTGCGTCTTCCTCTGGCGGACAACAGCAACGTGGAGGCAGAACTGGTAGTGGCCGCGGTCAACGTGGCCGGGGACGTGGTCGCGACCGGTATCAATACTACCAGCAGACTGGTCCGCAACAATTCACTGGTCCGCAGCACTTCTCTGGTGGTCCGCAGCAGCAGTTCAACGGACAGCAATCCTTCGGCGGGCAGGGAGCTTATGGCGGACATGGGCAGAATACTGAGGGCTATGGGAGAGGTCCTCAATCACAGTTTTCATCGGGAACATCGGGTACAGTTTTATGTAATTCGGTTCAGCCATTGTTTTATACTCCTGCTCTATCTACTTTTGTACTAACTATGTGTCTGCAGGCTTTCCCTCGGTTGAGAATAATTTTGGTTCAGTCCCTCCCCCTATCGTTTGTCAAATATGTCATTCCCCAGGTCATTCTGCTATTGCCTGTCCATCTCGTTTTGCTCAATCTCACACTCCTGCTTTGGCTGCTCCTACCGGAGAAACTACTCCAGCTGTTTGGTACCCTGACTCCGGTGCTTCTGCTCATATGACTGCTAATGAAGGTATTTTAGATAATAAATCTGTTTATTCTGGACCACTAAAAGTGACAGTTGCGGATGGGTCTACTTTACCAATTATGACTATTGGTGATTTGCGTTTAACTACTCTGCCACGTCCTCTTAAAAAGTGAAGTTGTGAGGCACTTTCAAACTTTTAAGACTATGGTTGAAAATCTGCTTGACTTTAAAATCAAAATTTTTCAAAGTGATGGAGGGGGTGAGTTTGATAATCATGGTATGCGCGACATTTTTCTTAAAAATGGCATCTTATTTCGAAAATCTTGTCCTGACACCCCTAAACAAAATGGGGTTGCTGAACGTAAACATCGACATCTACTTGAATTAACCCGCACTATGCTTTTTGAAGCTAAGATGCCTGCTATTTTTTGGGTAGATGCCGTGTTTACAGCTACCTATATTATTAATCGTCTCCCTACTCCTTATTTAAATGGTGCCACTCCTTTTGAAAAATTATTTCATCATCCTCCTGACTTCTCTTTTATGCGCATATTTGGGTGCGCTTGTTTTCCCAACTTTAATGCCACATCTTCAAATAAATTGTCTCCTAGATCCACTTTATGTGTATTTTTAGGATATGCTCCTGAATATAAAGGTTACCGGTGTCTTACTCCTATTTCTGGCAAAATTTACATCAATCGGAATGTCCGTTTTCATGAGAATTATTTTCCATATTGTGACTTAGTCTCAGTCTCAGAAAAATCGGCTCCCCCACAATTATCCTCCATCAATACGGTCCATCTTCATACAGGCAACCCACCATCCCTTTCTTATACTGTCCCACCTTCTGATAGCCACCTGCAGACCCTTCAGCCGCACCAGCTGTCTCCTCACCAGCCTGTTTCTCCTCACCAGCCTGTTACGCCAAGAACATCGGCCGCCCCATTATCTGCAAACTCCAGCCCGTCATCTATGCCTTCTGCCAGCAACCAACCCCAATCCTACTCCTCCTTATCCAGTCCGTCGACAACCACTACCACACCCAGCTTATCCTCCACTCCGGCCACATCACCATCTCCCACACCGCCTTCTTCTCCACCGGTTTCTTCCCCAGTAAATTGCAATGCAAACACGAGCTAAATCGGGAATTTTTAAACCCAAAACTATTTTTAATCTCAAAACAGATAGTTCGGCATGTGATCCTTCCCATTTTTCTATTGCTAATAAGGATGTTAAATGGCGAGGTGTTATGGCAGAGGAATTTAATGCACTTATTGATAATCATACTTGGGATTTAGTTCCATTTAATCCTCATAAAAATGTGGTTGGGTCTAAATGGATTTACAAAACTAAATTTAATTCTGATGGGTCCATTGAGCGGTATAAGGCACGACTAGTGGCACAAGGGTTTACTCAACAAGCTGGTGTAGATTTTTCTGAGACCTTTAGTCCTGTGGTTAAACCCACTACTGTTCGTATAGTCTTGTCTCTTGCTGTTTCTTTTCGATGGACTATTCGTCAGTTGGATGTTAAAAATGCCTTTTTACATGGAAATCTAACTGAAGAAGTTTATATGCGTCAGCCTCCTGGGTTCATTCATCCACAGTTTCCGCATCATGTCTGTTGTCTCAGGAAAGCTATTTATGGTCTCAAACAGGCTCCAAGAGCCTGGTTTTATCGGTTCAGCAGTTTTTTGTTGACACATGGTTTTGTTTGCAGCAAGTCTGATAATTCTTTGTTTATTTATCGACATGGGTCCTCTCTTATTTATCTTCTTCTTTATGTCGATGATATTATTGTCACTGGTAATTCCCCATCCTTTATTTCTACATTTATCTCTTGTCTTGGTCGATGCTTTGCTATGAAGGATTTGGGGGATTTACACTTTTTCCTAGGTGTCCAGGCTGTTCGAGCTGTTCGAGTACCCTCTGGTTTATTTTTATCTCAGCGAAAATATGTGTCTGATCTACTCACCAGGTTTCATCTTCATACTCTCAAGCCTGTTCGCACCCCCCTTCCTACACGAACTAAACTCTCTCACACTGATGAGGAGCTTCTTGCAGATCCTACTGAGTACAGAACTACAGAAGTATGGTAGGTGCATT